CTTAATACTTCTCGTTTTCACTGTCGCGTGGTCATGTGTGACGTCACGAGCTGCGGTGCGATTTTCGCTTCCGCGTCTCGTATACATGAGTTTGTCGTTGCTTGGGAATCTTTCATGTAACAAAAACAGACTATCATTATTGTTTTGTCCGTGTATTGTTTAATTTATTTTAATGTAATTGTCATCTTTGATGACGGCTTATGTAATCCGAAAGCTCAGATGGGTTTAAAAAACATGTATAAATATGGTGTTTTTCTTCCATCTTTCAATGATAATATTATTAAACTTATCAGACAATATAAAAGGAATTTTCTCAAAATAAACAGACAAAACTTGTCTATATTATTTAATGATACATGCATCAATATATACATATACATATATATATATATATATATATATATATATATATAGGGAGAGACGGGGAGAGAGACGAACACACTGAAGTAGATACAAAATCTTTATATATATATTTGATAGACAGAGCGAAACGAACACACTAAAATATATAAAAAATATTATAGATAGATAGATAGAAACGAAGATACTGAAATAGTGAATAGCCAGATGTGATCAAATTTAGATAGATAGATAGATAGATAGATCACACTGAAATGGATAAAAGATTATATATTAGACAGATATATATATATATAGATAGATAGATAGATAGATACGATCACACTGAAATTATATATTAGATAGATCGATAGATATATAGAGAGAAACGGTCACACTGAAATGGATATAAGATTATATATTAGATAGATAGATAGATAGATAGATAGATAGATAGATAGATAATGGGCAGAATGAGATAGATAGATAAATAGATAGAAAAGATCACACTGAAATGGATATAAGATTATATATCAAATAGATAGATAGATAGATAGATAGATAGATAGATAGATATGGGCAGAATGAGATAGATAGATAGATAGATAGATAGAAACGATCACACTGAAATGGATATAAGATTATATATTAGATAGATAGATAGATAGATAGATAGATAGATATGGGCAGAATGAGATAGATAGATAGATAGATAGATAGATAGATAGATAGAAAAGATCACACTGAAATGGATATAAGATTATATATTAGATAGATAGATAGATAGATAGATAGATATGGGCAGAATGAGATAGATAGATAGATAGATAGATAGATAGAAAAAGATCACACTGAAATGGATATAAGATTATATATTAGATAGATAGATACATAGATAGATAGATAGATATGGGCAGAATGAGATAGATAGATAGATAGATAGATAGATAGATAGATAGATAGATAGATAGATAGAAACGATCACACTGAAATGGATATAAGATTATATATTAGATAGATAGATACATAGATAGATAGATATGGGCAGAATGAGATAGATAGATAGATAGAAACGATCACACTGAAATGGATATAAGATTATATATTAGATAGATAGATAGATAGATAGATAGATAGATAGATAGATAGATAGATATGGGCAGAATGAGATAGATAGATAGATAGAAACGATCACACTGAAATGGATATAAGATTATATATTAAATAGATAGATAGATAGATAGATAGATAGATAGAGATATGGGCAGAATGAGATAGATAGATAGATAGATAGATAGATAGATGATCACCGAGTAGGACCACTTTATACATTCAATAGACATTGAGAACATGTTTATATTTGAATAAGGGCTGAAGACATCTCAATGTGGTTCATTAGATCTGCAAGAGACTTACATATCCGACCATATTTATTGCATGTCAGTTTTCTTTCAGCAGCTTAGTTTTCTGGATGCTCTTCTCTATAATGCCGAGTGAGTCCATTGGCTGACCTACACACTTGAGGAATCAAGAGATATCAGGCTGGAAATTATTGGTAGACAGTGGCGTTTCTATGGCGTCATGTGTGGCTAATATGGCTAATACATACATAGATATGCAGATTTCAGCCTAGACAAATACTTTGCAAAATAGAATCAAAGGCTTGACACTTCATTTTCGATTTATTAAATGGAAATAAATGCACCAGTAATGTTGTCACAATGCACACAGAGTTGATCACATTAAATATTAATCGTCATAGTCTTACGTTTATTCATTGTCTGCATCTATGACATTACAGAGACATTTTTTTTCCAAGATCATAGGCAAGATATCAATGAAATCTATCTGGTTCGGATGTATAATAGAAATAGATATATGTCATGGGTCCTTACCTATAACTACAGAATGTACTCTTCCTAAGACTATGTATATTACGCCTCTCAAGAGAGAGGGTCGAATCGAGTCGAGGAATCCGGACGTTAAACTCGGCCTTGTGCCACATGCAACCCTCATTGTGCTAGATATCGAATCGAGCCGAGCTTCTCGGCTTGACGGTCGAGCTCTCTGCCTCTGAGCAGAGAGGAACCCTGACGAGGCAACGCCGAAGGGCAGAGTCTCGTTCGGGGAGGTTGACCAACCCGATCCCGTTTATACGGGTTCTACGGGCATTTTTTGGCCGAGCCTACGGGCTCGGGAAACCGACGTTAAACTCGGCCTTGTGCCATATGCAACCCTCATGGGGGGGGGGGCTAGATATCGAATCGAGCCGAGCTTCTCGGCTTGACGGTCGAACTCTCTGTCTCTGAGCTGAGAGGAACCCGGACGAGGCAACGCCGAAGGGCAGAGTCTCGTTCGGGGAGAAATGACCAACCCGATCCCGTTTATACGGGTTCTACGGGCATTTTTTGGCCGAGCCTACGGGCTCGGAAAACCAACGTTAAACTCGGCCTTGTGCCATATGCAACCCTCGTGGGGTGGGGGGGTCTAGATATCGAATCGAGCCGAGCTTCTCGGCTTGACGGTCGAACTCTCTGTATCTGAGCTGAGACGAACCTGGACAAGGCTCCGCCGAAGGGCAGAGTCTCGTTCGGGGAGGTTGACCTACTCGATCCCGTTTGTACGGGTTCTACGGGCATTTTTTGGCCGAGCCTACGGGCTCGGAAAACCAACGTTAAACTCGGCCTTGTGCCACGTTTTTCCCTCGTGGTGGTGGTGGTGGGGGGGCAAGTAAATATCGAATCGAGTCTAGCCGATAGTGGTTCACTCCAAACCAGACTGACAGTCATACTAACACCTTCCACATCTTGTATTATTATTTCGTGTAATATACCTTCGTTATTTCTACTCTTGTGTTCGAGTTGTTCTTCCTTGATCCTAACCTGGACCATAACAATATATAATATGATATATAATAAAATAATAAAAAAATAATTGGTGTATAATATATGGATGTATAAGATGAATGCATGTATAATAAACACACAAGTTAAAATACTCGGTTAATACTCAAGTAATGGATATCGGCTCGGGTTTTGGAATCAAAGAGCCGAGTTCAAATTCCAGTCGAATCGAATACGTTCAGTTACGTGCTAATACTCTTGCGAAATGTATATATCCTCTTCTTCCCCCTCCCTCGCCTCCAGCTATGGGTAAATAGCAGGACAGACCGGGTTCTATAGCCTTGAATGGCAACTGGCCTACTGCAAAAAGAAACGACAGCCTACTACGGAAAAAAGTCTGCCTCGTCAGACATGTATCGAACCATACATGATCGCCTAAGCGTGTATCACGTATAGAACATAACTGACTGAAATTCAATTACGTGATTGGGAAAGGTATAAATCCTCGTCTTCTTCCCCTAGCTATGGGTAAATAGCAGGAAAGACCGGGTTCTATAGCCTTGGATGGCAACTTGTGTACCGCAGAAAGAAATGGCAACACAGTGCGGGGAAAAATCTGCTTCATCAGTCATGATCGCATGAGACTGTATCACGCATGGCGCAACTGATTGAAAGTAAATATATTCATATAAGTTCACTATACTTTCGACTATTTAATTTCTCCATATGAATTTACTGAACTTTATACTATGAAATTTGTCCAAGTGCTTTCACTGTACTTTTTACTTTGTCCGTATGAGTTTTTTTTAACAATGAGGTTCACCTATTACAAGACCCGTAGGTCACTCGAGGTAGTGGGCTATGTCAAGGGGTAGTTTATATGGATAGGAGGGGAACTCTAGACTAGTTTTTATATATAAGGGGTTAACTCTAAACTCGAAAAGATTAAGATTGCAGTGATCGAGGAAATATTCTCTTGGGAGCCTGTTCCACAGGGCAGTGGTTTCCGTTTACTATATTTTATACTATGTACTTTGTCCATATGAATTCACTGTATTTTTTACTATGTGCTCTGTTCATATGAGTTTAGTATACGTTGTACTATTTATTTTATCCATATGAGTTTGCTGTCGTATGGTGATTTTCTAAGCTAGGCTTAGATGTGGCACAAAGCCGAAAATATGGGGCACTCAGTGAGGATTGAACTCACTATTTGGTTGTCATGATTCTAGCAAAACAAGACTGCTAACCATTACACCACGTCGAGATGGCCTAGTAATTTTCCAAGCGTAGCTAAGATGTGGCACAAGGCCGAAAGTATGGGGCACCCAGTGAGAATCGAACTCACTACTCAGTGGTTACTGTTTTAGCGAGACAAGCTTGCTAACAATTACACCGCCTCGAGGTGCTCCTGTACTTCGTCGTATGTACTTTGTCCATATGAGTTTACTGTATTTTGTATTATGTACTTTGTACATATGCGTTCACTGTACTTTGTACTATGTACTTTGTCCATATGAGTTTGCTTTACTTTGTACTATGAACTTTGTCCATATCAATCAATTTTTTTTTTATAATGTACTTCGTACACACAGGTTCACTGTACTTTATACTATGTACTTTGCACATATGAGTTCATTGTACTTTCGACTATGTACTTTTTACATATGAATTCACTGTACTCTGTACTATAGATTTTATCCTTATGAATTTACTGTATATTGTAATGTGAACTTTGTACATACGACTTCACGGTTCTTTATATTTACATACGACTTCACGGTACTTTCTTTTTGCATACGGGTTCACTGTACTTTCTGCTATGTACTTCGTACATACAACTTCACTGTACTTCGTAATTTGTATATGTGATTCCACTGTACTTTGTACGTTCAACTTCATGTACTTTGTCCCATGCGACATCACTGCATTTTTTACTTTGTACTTAATTTTCATTGTACTTTGTACATGCGGCTTCAATGTACTTTGTCGTCCTGGGTAAGACGTTAAACTACATCTGCGTCCTGAGTAAGACGTTAAACTACGTCCAGCAGCAAGGCCTCGGATCAGGAGGTTTTAAGGAGCGTGGAACCACCTCTTAATTGCTGGTGTTCCCAGGTCCACCCTGACCTGGGGTGGTAGCACCTGTTAGAATCCCAGCTATGGGCAAATAGTTAACAATTAACAGCCATACTTTTTTGAAAAAAATTATTACCAGCAATACAATTTTGAAGGAAATATATTACCAGAAACAGATTTTTGACAAAACAAAATATTACCAGCAATAAATTTTTTTGTCGGCATTAAATAACGCATTGAGGTTGATATGCTGTAAAACAAAATAAATCAAACCAATCTAAACCAAAGAATACATATTCTATTCATACGAATCTATCCTAAAAATGTTGTCGGCATTAAATAAACCATTGAGGTTGATATGCCGTAAAACAAAACAAACTAAACCAATCTAAAGCAAAGAATACATAATCTATTCATACGAATCTATCCTAAAAATGTTGTCGGCATTAAATAACCCATTGAGGTTGATATGCCGTAAAACAAAATAAACCAAACCAATCTTAACAAAAGAATACATATTGTATTTATACGAATCTATCCTAAAAATGTTTTCGGCATTAAATAGCCCATTGAAGTTGATATGCCGTAAAACAAACCAAACCAAACCAATCTAAACCAAAGAATACATATTCTATTCATACGAATCTATCCTAAAAATGTTGTCGGCATTAAATAACCCATTGAGGTTGATATGACGTAAAACAAAATAAACCAAACCAAACCAATGTATTTTGTATCAAAGGATTTAAAATGATGGTTACAGAATCCTGTAAAATTGCCGAATTTCAAATATTTCAGAAAATAACTGTATTTTAACTTTTAGACTCCCATAAAAACCGACCTATGTGGCCTTTAAGCTCGATGTCGAATAACTTACTATGTCTATCTGAACCTGTTCATTGGTCACAAAAGTTAGATATTTTCCACTGATTAAAATATAATTATTTGTAAATAAGAAGATAATTAAGAAAAGTGACTCTGTAATTAGCAGTTAAATTTTATTTATATATAAAATGCGCAAATATATTTTAGAAAAACTATCATGTAGAAATTGGTAGTCATTTGATTTATTTTCCTCATTCAACTTTGAGAAAATTTTCTTTTCAGTTTTTGTAACAAAAATATGCAAAAATCGAATTATTATTATTGAGGTGCCCCCATCCAATATACTCCACACTATTATTATGAAATTGAAATCTTAACGAGAAATCGCTTTATTCTTAAAGTTGGAATATATAAACTGTATTGTTTAATGAAATTCCCGCTAAGATGTGCCATTTTTGCTATGCTCCCGTAGCACACAATCGCACCCACAAGCAGAAACTAGGTGATTATAATACAGATTTTCATAAATAAACATAAATTGAAATATTAAAATAAATATTAAAATAAAATATGAAATAAAACAGATTATAGGTAGACGAAGATAAAACATATATTTAAATATATTATTATTATATGCTTTATATTATATACTAGCAGTAGAGCCCGGCGTTGCCCGGGGATGTAACAGTAAGAGATAGATCAAGTATCGACCATCATAAAGACTGAAAAATAAAATTGACAAAGATTATTGTTTAAGGTTGACGGACACGCATGTCTTAATTAGTTTTTTTTTCTTTTTTTTTTTTTTTACGAATTGGTCAAACCCAAACTCAAACAAAAACATTGTTTTCAATCGTTATGAGTCTACCGATTGAATAGAATTTTATTATAAACAATTGCCTTGTAAATGGAATTTATAAAGCATTCTGAATGTAAAAATAAAGAATAAAGTGTGCAAGACAATAAGAAACACTACCTGCCAAAAAAAAGTGAAGTTTTGTTGAAATCGGTTGAAAAATGTAGGAAATCCGATCCCATATATAAACGAACACACACACACACACACACACACACACACACACACACACACACACACAAACAACCTGGGTTTTATAATAAGTATAACTCGATATGAGTTGTCCCTCTTTCATTCTCACGATGCCTCTTAATCGTGTTTGCAAATTGATTTCGTGCAAAAACAATTGTGTTTTTCCAATTTTGGGCGCTGTTAGAACCACCGCAAGGTAATTTTACGTAGTCCTGTGAAGTTTTGTTGAAATCGGTTGAAAAATTTAGGAAATCCGATCCAATATATAAACACACACACACACACACACACACACACACACACAATCTGCGTTTTATAATAAGTAAGATTATATTTACTGTTCAAGTCTAAAGACAAGAACATTTA